ACACACACACACACACACACACACACACACACACACACACACACACACACACACACACACACACACACACACACACACACACACACACACACACACACACACACACACACACACACACACACACACACACACACACACAACACACACACACACACACACACACACACACACACACACACACACTTAATTCAATTCTACATTATGTCAAAATCTATATAGAAAAGAAAGCTAAATAAAATGGATGGAGCCAAATATTTTAAAGAACATTAAATACAAATATTTTAAACAATATAACAACCTATTTTAAATAAAAATGCATATTTAAAATCCATTAAAAAACAACAAAAAAACAATATATATATATATTTTTTTACAAGTCTTTTTATTTCATTATAGTGTACAATAATCGATGCCATTTCATTTATATTGTAATATCACAGTACACTCACTACACTCCCTCCCTCCCTCCCTCCCTCCACCCACACATACCCGCACAGGCAAAACCAAAAAATGCGTATCAATATAACTTAAACAACAGAGCCATGAAAATAAACATAAAAAGGAAAAGGAAAAAATAGAACCAAAAAATAAATAAATAAAAAATAAAATAAAAACCAGACAAGTAAAACAAACAAATAATTATACAATACAAATAATTATACAATACAGTGACAATGTAGACAATGACAACACCATAACACGTATTTCCGGCCGTCAGGACAAATAGCCACAGAATGCACCATTCCATCACTGGTCATATCTCAGATATGTTTTCCAAATACGAAAACAATGGCAACCACAGAGCTTGAAAAATATGTCCACGATTATATTTTTCCAATGTCATTTTCTCCAGATGTGTTATCTGATCAATGAAAAGTTTAAATGTTGGGGGACGTTCATTCTTCCAGAATAAAAGTATACATTTCTTGGCAAAATATGTTATTGTGATTAGTATTCTGTAATGTTTTGGGTTCAGTTTAAAGTTTGGCATGTCATTTAACAGGAAAAAACATGGATTTAGGCTAATTTCGATGTCTAAAACGGCTTTTGTGAGAGCATGAATCGAATCCCAGAAATGTTTCAAGACATCACAATCCCAAAACAGATGCATAAATGTTCCTTCTTTTATTTTACATCTCGGACATTTTGGAGAGTTTTCTTTGGACATTTTATGCATCTTTATGGGTGTGAGGTAGAATTTGTTGATACATTTAAAGTTTGCTTCTTTGATTTTATTGCTTGTGAATGGAAAATGTGTTCTTTCACAAATGTTCAGCCAAGTAGTTTCATCTATCTGTATCCCTAAATCCTTTTCCCAGATCTTTTTTAAGGTTAGAAATGATGACTGAGCTCTTTTAGAAAAAACTGCATTAAATTCACTAATTTTACCTTTGATCGTGTTCGATGACATCAATATCTCCTCCTCTTCTAACAATCCCGGTCTCAATTTATTGCTTTTAATAATTGATTGGATCACGTTCCTAATTTGCAGGTATCTGAAAAAATCCTTATTTGAAATGTCATATTCTGCTCTTAAATCATTAAATGATTTCATTGTTATATCTTTGTGAAACAAATGTTTCAATTGCTTTATACCTGATTTCGTCCATTTGTTTATATCGATTGACAACAAATATTTGCTAAGATCCGGATTGTTCAAAATAGGAGAAAAGATGGAAATACCAGAGTTAACATGAGCTTTTTTTGTACAGTCCCTCCAGGCTAAAAGTGTATTGACCACTGTAAAACATTTGTCCATATTCTTCACCTTATTGAAATCTTTAACAAATATAAGAGTTTCCACTGGCAACGGGTCAAAGACATTGGCTTCTATCTGAACCCATAGTGAATCCTTTCTTCCCAGAGACCATGATAGCACATTTCTTAATTGAGCTGACCAGAAGTAGTGTTGAAAGTTAGGAAGACCAAGTCCCCCCATAGTTTCTGGTTTCATAAGAGTCATTAACTTGATTCTTGGTTTTTTATTACACCAGATAAATGTTGAGATATGTCTATTGAGAGATTTAAAATAGTCAGCGGATAAATAGCATGGTAACATTTGAAAAAGAAAATTACATCTCGGTAGAATATTCATTTTTATGACATTGATTCTTCCTAGCAGTGATATTGGCAATGTGGACCATTTAGATAAATCCTGTTTGATTTTGTCAATGAGCGGATTGTAATTCTCTTTAAACAGATTATCCAGGTGTGGTGTTATATTTATTCCTAAGTATTTAAAGCCACCTGGTGACAAATTAAAAGAACAAGACTTTTCCAGATTTGCTGTTGGCGTCATATGTAAGAAACAAGCATTAGATTTCTTAAAATTAATTTTATATCCTGAGTATCTTCCAAATTGCTCTATCGTGTTGTGCAGATGTGGTACTGAATTTTCTGGGTCTGTTAAGTAAAGAATGATATTGTCAGCATACAGAGAAATGTTGTGTTCATCGTTAATCTTCACTCCTTTAATACCCATGTTGTCTCGCACACATGACGCCAGTGGTTCAATTACAATAGCAAAAAGCAAAGGCGACAGTGGACATCCCTGTCTTGTCCCCCTTGTTAGTGGAAAAAAATCTGAGGAACTGCAGTTAGTGATAACCGCTGCTTTAGGGTTTTTATAAATTGATTTGACCCACTCTATGAACCGAGAGCCCATATTCAATCTGTTCAAGATAGCAAAAAGAAAATTCCACTCTACCCTGTCAAACGCCTTCTCGGCATCTAAAGAAAGAAGCAGAGAAGGCCTCTGACAGGTGTCCAAATGGTTTATAATATTCAAAAGTCTCCTTATATTATCAGAAGAATATCTGCCCTTGACAAAACCTGTTTGATCAGGACTAATTAGTTTAGGTAAAATAATTTCCAGTCGTTTTGCTAATAATTTGGTGATAATCTTATAATCATGATCCAAGAGGCTTATAGGCCTAAATGAAGAACAATTCAAGGGGTCTTTTCCATCTTTATGTAGTACAGTAATATATGCAAGATTCATTGTTTGAGGAAGTGTTCTGTTGTGAGAGAAGTTGGTAACCATTGACATAAATATAGGTTGAAGTTCAGTCCAAAACTCTTTATAAAATTCTGCCGAGAAGCCATCTGGCCCTGGGCTTTTATTTATAGGCATAGATTTAATTGCAGCCAGAACTTCTACTTCTGTAATTGATGAGTTTAGATACTCTTGATCTAAATCAGATAACGTAGGTAAATTAATGTTATGGAGATAATTGTCCAGTTCATCTTGTGAGTAATCAGATTGAGATTTGTATAATTTGTTATAAAATTCATAGAAAGTCTGGTTAATCTGTTTTGGGTGGTAGCTTATTTCGTTGTCTTTCAGACGAATTGCTTTTATAGCCCTTTCTGCCTGCTCCTTCTTTAATTGATAGGCAAGTAGTTTACTTGGTTTATTGCCGAATTCATAATTATTTTGTCTGATAAGATTCATTTGTGTTATATTTTCATTTGTTAAGTCAATATTTAATTTAGCTCTGGCTGTGTTTAATTGTTTCCAGTTTTCATCTGTTGATGCAGATTTATGAAGTGCTTCACATCTGTTTACTTCTCTTTCAAGTTCTTGTCTGAGCCTAATTTTTTCACGTTTTTTAAAGGATGTGTATGAGATAATAAGTCCTCTTAAAGTAGCTTTTGCAGCTTCCCAAATAATATTCGGATCTATAGAGGGGTCATTGTTTTCTTTTATATAGTACCTTATCCACATTCGCATTTTTAATTTGAATTTTTCGTCTCTAAGTAAGGAGTTATCAAATTTCCAGCGCCTGGATACAAATTCTCCACTCTCCAAGTGAATAGTTACATGAACTCTTGCATGATCCGAAATATTAATGGAATCAATTTTACATTCTTTTACCCTATGCATGTATTTTGAGGGAATAAAAAAATAATCTATTCTAGAATAAGAGTTGTGGACATTTGAAAAGAAAGTATAATCTTTGACATCCTGATTTAGTTGACGCCATACATCAATAAGGCCACATTCTGCACATAGCCCCTGAAGGACCTTTGAGGATTTAAGATTGTGGCTCTTGGACTGGTTAGATTTATCTAATGTAGGGTTAAGAGTGCAGTTGAAATCGCCGCCCATCAGTCCTAATCCTTTACAATTTTCATTGAAGAGCAGCACCATGTCAGACATGAACATTGGTTCATCTATGTTGGGAGCATAGATATTTAAAAAGGTAATTGGGGTTCCAAAAATAGTACCGACAACCAAAACAAACCGACCATTTGGGTCTGTAACTAATTTTTCTAATTCGAATGGGCAAGTTTTGTTTATCACAATAGCTGTCCCTCTACTATGGGTTTTATATGATGAAAAATACACCTGACCTATCCAATCTCTTTTCAATTTAAGGTGTTCAGTATCTGAGAGAAAGGTTTCTTGTAAGAAGACCACATCAGCTTTGTCTTTTTTAAGAAGAGATAGTACTTTATTCCTTTTTATGGGATTTCCCAAGCCTTTAATATTCCAAGAATATATTTTCATATTTTGCATGGTGACTGCTGCATATCTGTGGGATTATATTTAATACATTGTATATTTTGGCCCCATACACAAAAGGGATTGTCACTGCTTTTATTATTTACCATTAAAACTAATGTAACAAAAACGTAAAACACAAAAAGAAAACAATATAACATCCCACCCAAACCAGGGTCTTCCGACCCTGGCAGTTCATCTACCCAATTTGTTGTAGCCCAGAGAGAAACAAACGTCAGAAAAATGTTCATCTCAGAACTAACGAAATGTCCTCTTTGTGTTGGCAACTTGGAGCTCCCTTCCTCAGTTCTCATTGAAAATAAATACATTTCTTCATAATTTTCCTCCTAAACAGAGGACGGGTAGATAGAAAAAATTAATGGAAACAACTTTCCCTCATATTGAAAACCCGTCCGCATCCCAAATTTCATCATGGTATGTTCCATCCGATTATTTACATGTCAAATAATAAATTGCCATAAAAAACAAGACAAATCAAAAAAGAACGATCGGAGGAGTACATGGTGATATCTTAACCGTCAAATAAAAGTGGAGGAAGATTGTATTTTAAACAGAACAGTATGTTATTGTTTTGTCAGACCCCCTCCACTACCTTCTTTGTTGGTGTGGTCCGTTACGTCATTCTTTGTTGCCGGAAGCAAAGGCACTGGTAAATATAACAAAATACAAATGAACCAGTTCGATCCTTTAAACAGGAAAATCCTCTTAATGTGTCCTTGCGAAAAACGATTTCCACACGTTTCCCCAATCCCGATGACAGTTAATTTGGAGTTCGATTATGACTTATAACCGTTGCAACATGGGAATGATAAGAAGAGGAGAAAAAAGAAAAAAGAAAAGAAGAATGTACATCTTACCTCCACTCCGGTAGGTTAGAAAAATAGCGACTTACTGCAGCTGCTTGACAAAAGTGTCGGCTTCTTTGGGATCTTCAAAATAAACAATCTTCTCTTTATGAAGAATACGGAGCCGATGAGGATATGCAAATCCTCTGAACATGCCTTTTTCGAGGAATAATTTGATCACCAGGTCAAACTCCTTGCGCTTTCGGCGTACCTCTGCAGACAGATCCTGGCGAATGGTGAGTTTAGTATTACCCTCGTGGATTGACATTTTCTTCGCAGATTGCAGTATCATTTCTTTATCTCTGACTCGTAGAAAGCGGATCATAATTGGTCTTGGAGGCTTCCCTGGCTCGGGATATGGTCGTAGAGAGCGGTGAACCCGCTCCAACTCTAGATTCTGATCGAGGGAGAGTTTGAGCCAGCAAGGTCATTTTTGTTGAATGTATTGAAGTAGTAGTTGGCTGCCTTCTGACTTCTCTGGGAGCCCTAGTAGAACAAGGTTTTTACGTCTCCCTCTATTTTCGAGATCATCCGTCTTAGATTCCAGCGTCTTTATCAACTTTTCGGCTCGGTGAAGATCCCGTGCCGTAGTTTGTAAGGTGTCTTCTAATGTCGAAATTCTTTGTTCAGCTTCATACGCTGAAGTTGATTCTCAAGGGCCTGGTTTGTTGTAGCTAGTGCTTCTTTCATTGTTGAAACTTGACTAGTCACAATCTCCAAACGATTATCAATTCCATCGAGACGATTAAGTATCTCAGAGCGTTGAGATTTTAACTCGGACATTATCTCAACAAACGAAGGATTTCTATCATCCTCTTGAGACTCAGCCGCCGGTTCTGGTAGGCCCCCATTGTCTTGGTTGTTTCGTGGGGGTTTTCTTGGTTTATAATTGGCGTTGATGTACTCTGGGATTATATTATATTTTTGAATAATAAATATAATATTTAAAGGTGGGGTAGGTACATTTGAGAAACCGACTCGAGATACACTTTTTGTTATATTCCATGGAATGCTCTTAACATCCCGATAGCAATGAATATCTTAAGGGCTTTGAAAAAAAATCCATAAAAGAATTTCATCTGTGGAAGCCGTAGTACTGTAAAAAGCACGACCAATCATTGTAGCCAGCCCGGCTAAAATAACTGGATGGCCTACCTGCCTGATCAGTTAGATCAGTGTGTAATCAGTAGAAAATAATAACTTCCCATTATGCAGATATGACATCCTCGGAACATTGCTGCTGTGTGTGTGTGTGTGTGTGTGTGTGTGTGTGTGTGTGTGTGTGTGTGTGTGTGTGTGTGTGTGTGTGTGTGTGTGTGTGTGTGTGTGTGCGCGCATGTGTGTGTGTGCACGTGTGTGTATAAAATAAAATAAAGTGCTTAGGCTGCATTGATCTGTGAGATAACTGAACTGAAATGTTTAAGCTTGTATTTACTGTACTTTATTTATAAATGTGCTGTTCACTCAGCAGACACTAGAGGGCGCCAGAGGATCGAATAATGAAATCTGATGCAGAGCTCAGAGGTAAAGGAAGCTTTTTCATTATTTAACTATGGACAGAAACTTGACCTGATTTCTGATTTTGGTAAATAAACGTTGGAACACAAAATACTGAGCATGGACCCACAACATTTTAAATATTTCTTAGTTTTTGTACTGCCTGTTGCTATCCTGACTTTAAAATAATTATATTTATTATTCTAAAAAATATAGTTTTCTCCTGTTTTTTTAATCGTTTTTTTATGGATTTAAAATATGTTTTTTTATTTAAAATATGTTGTTATATCATATAAAACATTTATATTTCATTTTTTTAAATATTTGGCTCCTTCCATGTTATTTAGCTTTAAAAAAAATGTTCTATATAGATTTCGACATAATGTAGAATTGAATTAAGATTTGTTTAACCAAAATAAAGGTGGTTATAACATCAGACATGAGAGACTTAGTTGATTTAATGTTAAATTAAACGGTTTTCAGCAGCAGCAGCTTCTAGAAGTTTTACCCTTGAGTTCAGACTGGGTTAAAAATGTGCAGCTCGTGTAAACGCTGACATTTAGAGCCTGTTTCTGCCTGTTCCAGGATCAGTGAGTTCTCTGCACGATGTGTCTGGCACCAACACAAGATGACCCAATCTGGAGAGAAAACTGGACTAAAGTAGGACGGAGCTGAACACACACTGAACATACACACTGAACACACACTGAACACACACTGAACACACACTGAACACACACTGAACATACACACTGAACACACACTGAACACACACTGAACACACACTGAACATACACACTGAACACACACTGAACACACACACACTGAACACACACTGAACAACACTCTGAAAACACACTGAACACACACACACTGAACACACACTGAACAACACACTGAACACACACTGAACACACACACTCTGAACAACACACTGAACACACACTGAACACACACACACTGAACACACACTGAACACACACTGAACACACACACTCTGAACAACACACTGAACACACACTGAACACACACACACTGAACAACACACTGAACACACACTGAACACACACACACTGAACAACACACTGAACACACACTGAACACACACACTCTGAACAACACACTGAACACACACTGAACACACACTGAACACACACACTCTGAACACACACTGAACACACACACTCTGAACACACACTGAACACACACACACTGAACACACACTGAACACACACTGAACACACTCTGAACACACACACTCTGAAAAACACACTGAACACACACAATCTGAACACACACTGAACACACACTGAACACACACTGAACACACACAATCTGAACACACACTGAACACACACTGAACACACACTGAACACACACACTCTGAACACACACTGAACACACACTGAACACACACACACTGAACACACTGAACACACACACACTGAACACACACTGAACACACACTGAACACACACACTCTGAAAAACACACTGAACACACACAATCTGAACACACACTGAACACACACTGAACACACACTGAACACACACTGAACACACACTGAACACACACAATCTGAACACACACTGAACACACTCTGAACACACACTGAACACACACACTCTGAACACACACTGAACACACACTGAACACACACACACACTGAACACACTCTGAACACACACACACTGAACACACACTGAACACACACTGAACACACACTGAACACACACACACTGAACACACACTGAACACACACTGAACACACACTGAACACACACTGAACACACACACTGAACACACACACTCTGAACAACACACTGAACACACACTGAACACACACTGAACACACACACACTGAACAACACACTGAACACACACTGAACACACACTGAACACACACACTCTGAACAACACACTGAACACACACTGAACACACACACACTGAACACACACTGAACACACACATTAAACACACTCTGAACACACACACACTGAACACACACTGAACACACACTGAACACACACTGAACACACACTGAACACACACTGAACACACACTGAACACACACATTAAACACACTCTGAACACACACACACTGAACACACAGTGAACACACACTGAACACACACACTCTGAACACACACACACTGAACACACACTGAACACACACACTCTGAACACACACTGAACACACACTGAACACACACACTCTGAACACACACTGAACACACTCACTGAACACACACTGAACACACACTGAACACACACACTCTGAACACACACTGAACACACACTGAACACACACACTCTGAACACACACTGAACACACTCACTGAACACACACTGAACACACACTGAACACACACACTCTGAACACACACTGAACACACACTGAACACACACTGAACACACACTGAACACACACTGAACACACACTGAACACACACTGAACACACACTGAACACACACTGAACACACACTGAACACACACTGAACACACACACACTGAACACACACTGAACACACACTGAACACACACACTGTGCAGCTCCTTTCTCTGGAGGTAATCACATTGAAAACACACTGTACTGTTCTGATATTTTGGAGATGCTTTACCAGAACTATATATATTTTTGGGATAAACTCATTTTTTCTTTTCATGTTCTCTTATTTTTAGAAATGTTTGGTAATACTGTACTCTGATATTTTCTTTGATGTTTTCGAAACACTATACTTTGACTTTTTTTTTACAAACTGTACCATGAAGTTTTTTCTGATATTTTTACACTATGACTTATTTTCATATATTTTGGTATTTTCTGATATAATAGTATTTTTGTTTCGACATACAATTCCATGACGTTTTTTTACATACTATAATATCACTTTGCATCACCTTTTTCTGACACTCTACATACACCAATATGTATTCCTCAGATAATAAATAACATATTGATCAAACTAAAAATGTGAATAACAACCATCCTCAGTTTGACAGCTGATACTCTCTGCAGTGTTACAGTGATATGTGTCCTCCTCTCCTCTCTCTGTCCCTCTCTCTGTTCTCGTCACTGATTCCCCGTAAAGTCTCTCTGATGCGTCTGATCTCATTCTCCCTCCAATTAAACTCAGCTGTTTGGATTCAGACGTCGATTCATTGATTCATTGATTCGCTCATCTCACGTCATCGTGTGCAGGGTCGGTGACACAGAAACCTACTTATTGTAATGAACTGAAGTCAAATGTGTTTAATGCACTGTTTATATTCATAACACACACATCTCTTTCCATAAAATGATGCTTATATAAATATATTTATTTAATACTATTGCATATTCTTACTTTTACTTCTTATGTTAAGGTTTTTATTCTAAAAAAGGAGCAACTAACCCGGATAAATAAAGAATTGTGATCGTAAAATCTACATATTTATATATTAATACAGTATTGTGTATTTACTATACTCTACAGTTTTTTATTTCACATTCAGTTTGATCTTTTTAATGTATTTGTACTTATTCCTGCAGTTTACTTGCACCTCTGTGTCTCTTAAACTAGTCTGCAAACATTTCTTTACCTGTGTAATCTTTAATATACGTCTGCTTTTTGTTATTTTATGACATAAAACATGTATAAATAACAGAAAGTGATTCCAAGAGACAGAGAAAAGCTTTTATTCTGCTTATCATTGAATTGAACTTGTATTATTATTTAATTTGCACTATTTTAAGGCACTATTGTGTTTCTTTATTCACTTAATTAGTGCATGTTGAAGAGCCTGGGACTTCAGATTGCTGCAGATATGGTGCATGACAATCAACCCTTTGAGCATTTTTAAATCTTATGTATTTCTGATCAAGCTTCTCGTCTAATATCCGTCTGTTTGACACTCGTTAGCTCCGATGCTTCCTCATGTCAAACACTCTGAAGCCTTTTGTATGCTAATGAAGATCCAGAGAAGGACACCGAGGGAAACTCAACATCCATGCTTCATCGTCCGCACACATTCTTCCAGAGGTAACTAAGTACATTTACTCAAATACTTTACTTGAGTATTTCCATGTTATGCTAATTTGTACTTCTACTCCACTACAATTCAGAGGTACATGGTGTACTTCTACTCCACTACATTAATACCTTTAGTTACTTCACAGATGTGGATGAATGATGTGAAATATAATCAAGTGTTAAATCAGACTTTAGTTCCACCTGGAGTAAATCCACAAGCTACCCTGCAGTATACAAAGTCATTCAAACTAGCTGCACCTTTACCAGCTTTGAGAACACTTTCATGATCAATCATTATAAAACATATCATATATATTATTCTGAAATGGACCAATCTGCACAATGACTACTTTTACTGTCGCTACTTTCACTATATTTTGATGAGAATACTTTTCTACTTTTACTTGAGGAACATTTTGAATGCAGTACTTTTACTGTAACAGAGTATTCCTACACTCTGGTACTTCTACTTTTACTCAAGTACAAGATCTGAGTACTTCTACTTTTACTCAAGAACAAGATCTGAGTACTTCTACTTTTACTCAAGTACAAGATCTGAGTACTTCTACTTTTACTCAAGTACAAGATCTGAGTACTTCTACTTTTACTAAAGTACAAGATCTGAGTACTTCTACTTTTACTCAAGTACAAGATCTGAGTACTTCTACTTTTACTCAAGAACAATATCTGAGTACTTCTACTTTTACTCAAGTACAAGATCTGAGTACTTCTACTTTTACTCAAGTACAAGATCTGAGTACTTCTACTTTTACTAAAGTACAAGATCTGAGTACTTCTACTTTTACTCAAGTACAAGATCTGAGTACTTCTACTTTTACTCAAGAACAATATCTGAGTACTTCTACTTTTACTCAAGCACAATATCTGAGTACTTCTACTTTAACTCAAGTACAAGATCTGAGTACTTCTACTTTTACTCAAGAACAAGATCTGAGTACTTCTACTTTTACTCAAGAACAATATCTGAGTACTTCTACTTTTACTCAAGTACAAGATCTGAGTACTTCTACTTTTACTCAAGAGCAAGATCTGAGTACTTCTACTTTACTCAAGTACAAGATCTGAGTACTTCTACTTTTACTCAAGAACAAGATCTGAGTACTTCTACTTTTACTCAAGAACAAGATCTGAGTACTTCTACTTTTACTCAAGTACAAGATCTGAGTACTTCTACTTTTACTCAAGTACAAGATCTGAGTACTTCTACTTTTACTCAAGTACAAGATCTGAGTACTTCTACTTTTACTCAAGAACAAGATCTGAGTACTTCTACTTTCACTCAAGTACAAGATCTGAGTACTTCTACTTTTACTATACAAGATCTGAGTACTTCTACTTTTACTATGCAAGATCTGAGTACTTCTACTTTTAATATACAAGATCTGAGTACTTCTCCCTCTCCTGCAGACTCCACAAAATCACACATTTGTTAACGGTCCAACCTTTCCTCTCTCTGCTCCTTTTAAAGTTCCACATTAAATCCAGGCCAACAGGAGCGTTACGTAACTCTTCCCGCTCAGAGGTTAACTTCAAGTACGCGGTTACGTAACGACCGGTGAACCGTGAGAGAAGCCGCCCTCCAAACGATCCGGTGGATCCCAGTCTGACTCATCAGGTTGGAAATCAGGGTATTTTAGTTATTGAGTAGAAATGTCAACGTATTTTCTCCCAATTACGGTTGTTTTTTAAAGTAAGAGAACAGAAACAATGATACTAATGAAACCCCCCCTCACAGCAGACTGTAATGACTCTGAGTGACATGCAGAGGGTCAAAGCGACTCCGTCTTTATTCTCACCTACTCTCTTGTCTTTCAAACAAACAGGTGTAGAACAAAACCCTCTCTCAGCCCCCCCCCCCCCTTCCTCTGTAAATGTCAGCCTTCACATCCCCTGCTATCAAAGGCTCCTCATCCTCAGCAGGATGCAGATGAACTGCTCCTCTCCCATCATGCAACACAAAGAGGACACAGGCATAATGAGGAACATTTAAAAGCACATGTCATTTGTACTTCATTATAACTAAGTACTTTTACTTACAGTACGCAGAGTTCTAGGGTATCATGAGTATTTTCTGCTGTTTTATACTATATTTGAGTTTGTTGGTCTGAACACCTTGTTTCTCTTGTGCATTAAGAACACTTGTGTTAGGGCATGATTTAACAATGAATAGGTTATATATACAGTATCAAATACCACGTACTGTCCGCCCTCCCATGCCACCCTGGCATGACCTCTTGCCCCCCCTTTGCCACCCCATGTAAAATGTTCTAGAACCGCCACTACCCTTACACCCTACCCCTACACCCTACCCCTACACACTACCCCTCTGTTTGCGCGGAGGGTCCGCCACATTAAGTGCTGTTCCAAACCAACGAGTGTGGAGGGGGAGTGGGCTATCAAGCCCTCAAACAGCGAGTCTGCATCGGTGCTGACTGGAGACCGGTCTCTACCTGACCGGTCTCAAGGCTGTGTGTGTCCGTCAGGAAACACGCTGTTTACAAACAGTTCCAGCAAACATCCACTGATTTGGTTAAGCTGGGGAGTGGACACTTATTGAGAGGAGAGAGAGAGTAGTAACATGTAAATAGTAAATGAAGGAGTAAAGACGGTCTTCCTGGTTGAACTTGCGCTGAGCTTCATTTAGTCTCAGATCACTTCCACATGTTCTCCATCAGCTTCGTATGGCACCTTGGACATAACACAAGAAGAACATCCTGTTTTTGTTTTTGAAAGACAAACCTTTATTAATGATCTAAACATTTCATTTGATCACACATCCCATCAGTAAAGTCTGTTCAATGATTTCATGATCAGTTTCACTTTATCCACACCATGTGTTTCATCTCAGCTATTTCAAACAGAATCATACATGATTTCCTTATTGATTATTATCATGATAAGTTATGTTCTATAAAACATCAGAGTACCCACTTTCTATTTGGACAACAACAACAACAACAATTAGTCTGCAAACAAATAACATTTTATTTCCCAAGCAAAGACTCTAAGCTATTTACAGGAGAATAATGAATGATGGACTTATTGATTATGATCATGACAGTAAGTAATATCATTTTAAACAAACATGTTATGATGAAATAAGTGTTATAACCATCTGGGAACTCATTTGTAGTTAATTTGGGCAACAATAACATTGAATCTGTCTAAATAATACATGTGATTATAAATGTCTCTATTGTTTTAGAAAGTGGGCAGAATAAAATGTGTAGAATAAAAGAAGCTCTGCTGCTTTCTCTCTGAAGACTCGTGCATTACAAGAGAAACAACAACATGAATCAAAAGAAATATCCAACACATATTTAGAGCAAAGTTTACATATCAGTTCAGGGTGAACAAGGATCCTCCTGAGCAGTGACAGCCTCCATGGCTACACAGACACAGGAAGGAGCCGGAAGAAAGTCCAACCTTTACAGAACAACTCATGAGGAGATGTTGAAGCACATCCCATCATGTTTGATTGACAGCTGATCTCTGCACAGTGAAGACATGAACAATCAGCTCTGATGGACACACGGTGAGTTTAAGAAGTAGAAGAGTTCCTCCAATGACTTCAGGCTATTTGAGTTTACACAACTCAGCAGTGGCTCCATTTTTATAATAAAGCCAAACTCCAGCATGTAGCGGCTGAGTGAATGTGGTCTGCACTCTGTGGAGGAGAGTCATGGTTTCAGAGACGCTGTAGAAGGACAGAACACCTGCTCTGTGATCCAGGTACACTCCTACTCTGGAGGACTGAGGACCTGAGACGGGAGTGGTGATACTGTTGTAACGAAATAAATAACTGTTTTGGTTACACACTAAGGACCAAGATTTGTCATTGTTTCCAAATGCACTTCCCCCCCCTGCTCTGCTGATATTCTTGTATGCGACTGCTACATAAACTCCTCTCCCTCTCCGCTCCACCTCCCAGTAACAACGTCCAGTCAGACTCTCTCTACTCAGGACCTGAAAATAATCAGTGAATCTGTCTGGGTGACTAGAATAAGACTGTTGTTGTTTCATGAGTGTTGCTTTTCTGCTCCCCTCAGATAATAACAGATGTCTGCTTGCTGTGTTTGGATCCAGAGTGATCTCCTGTGAATATTGTAAGAACCCAGCTCTGGTGGTGGGCTCTGCTGCTGACAGTAAAACATCCACCTCAGTCGATGAGACGTTTGTCCATTCCTCTCTCAGGACGTCCTGTAGTTTGTCTCTGACTGCTGACAGGGCCGCCGTCACGTCCTCAAAGTAGCTCAGAGGACGGATGTTGATGCTGGAGGAGTGTGGAGGTTCACTGAGGGCTGACAGTGAGGGGTAGCTGTGCAGAAACTGGTTGTGATCCTCTGTGTGAGACAGCAGCTTCAGCTCAGCGTCTCTCCTCTTCAGCTCAGAGATCTCCTGCTCCAGCTTCTCCTGAAGCTCTTTGACTCGACTCACTTCTCTCTTCTGCTGGGATCTGACCTGCTGCTTCACATCAGAGCTTCTCTTCTCCATGAGACGGATCAGCTCAGTGAACATCTTCTCACTGTCCTCCACTGCTTTATCAGCAGAGCCATTGACGGCCTCCACCTCCTGCTGAAGCAGCTTCACCTCCTTCTCTCTGTCCTGGATTCTCTGCTGGATGTTTAGTCGACTCCCCTCCAGCTCTCTCTGCCTCTCAGTCCTCTCTGCCGCAGCTGACACCGTGTTGTGGCCCTTATGGTCATCCATAGTGCAGATTAAACAGATACACTGCTGATCAGTGCGGCAGAACATCTTCATCACCTCGTCGTGACGAGAGCAGATGTTCTCCTGGAGCTTCTTGGAGGGCTCCACCAGCTTGTGTTTTTTAAAGACAGGTAATTCATAATGAGGCTGGAGGTGTTGGTCACAGTAAGAGGCCACACACTGCAGACAGGACTTACAGGCTCTCAGTTTCCTCCCAGTGCAGACATCACAGGCCACATCTTCAGCTCCAGCATAGCAGAGATCAGCAGGAGCAGGTGGGGGTCCAGTCTTCTTCAGCTCCTCCACTAAAGCTGCTAACATGGTGTTCTTCAGCAGGACAGGCCTCGGTGTGAAGCTCTGCCTACACTGAGGGCAGCTGTGGATCTTCTCTCATCCTCTCCGTCCCCAGAAGCCTTAATACACTTCATGCAGTAGCTGTGTCCACAGGTAGTGGTCACCGGATCCTTCAGTAGATCCAGACAGATGGGACAAGATAACATTTCCCGCTCCAGCTGAACTCCTTTCTGCGCCATTTCACCTCTCAGTAGCAGAGAGTGTGAGTTTCACTTCCTGAGAGCTGAAACTAGTGAGACAGGTTATCTGAACAGGATGTGTGTGGGCGGTGAATGTGGCCTATCAGCTCTTGTGCTTTACCCACATGTTGGTTACACCCAGGGGTTAAATTGGACCGGGGCTGTCCGGGGCTCAGCCCCGGCACATAGGACGATGCTCTGACGTCATCCCCCTCGCTCATTTGTCATTTGTTTAAGCCATATGTTAAACCATCTCTCGTTCTTAATATAGACTTTATTTAGGGTCGATATGTGTTGACTTTACTTTAAAATAGCAATATCTCTGTGACAATGATATCGTTTTTCCGCTTAGTGAACGCGTCTCTGCTCCGATCAGGAGCTGCAGCACCGCGGCTCCTTCGTGCAGAGTCTGCAGCGGTGTGTGTGGTGTGTGTGTGTGTGTGTGTGGTGTGTGTGTGTGTGTGTGTGTGTGTGTGTGTGTGTGTGTGGGTGTGGTGTGTGTGTGTGTGTGTGTGTGTGTGTGTGTGTGTGTGTGTGTGTGTGTGTGTGTGTGTGTGTGTGTGTGTGTGTGTG